ACCTCAAATAGAGTGACAATTATAAAACTTAATACGGTACTGGGTGTAATAGTGAGTGTGTGTTACGGGAATAGGTGGCAGTTGACATCGGGAGAAGGACGAATGGACGTTGAAGGTGAAATCAGAAAGATTGAGCACTCGAGGCTCGCGGGATGAGGTCACTCAGAAAGTAGTGACTCGAAGGAACCTCGGCGACCCTGTATCCAACGGGCCACTAAAGGCAACTAAGTACTACAAAATTACGTCGTCGATACTAAAGCTGAGGGCGACTTTCGAGAAAGTAGTCAGCTCTTGTTGAGTCGCCGTCGCGAGAAGTAAGACATAATTATGGAGATGGGAATGTCAGATTCACTAAGTACAGAGGGGCACACACTATAACGCAGTGCCTACCGGAAACGAAATCCTATCAAGAGGATTCAACATATACCGTGGCCGGTAGCCTATTGATGGATCTTGATATTCCCGCTACTGAAAGATAGTGGGTTTTACCGAAAGTGCAAAAAAACCGATTTCGCGGAAGGCCCTTCAGATCATGTGGTTTTTTTCTCAAGGTCCCATGATATTTTTCCCACATTTCCTCCTATAAAACAGCCTTCTGCCTCCTGGCAACGTTGCTCAAATTCTCATCTTGCCCTTCACTCTCAACGGCGCCCCTGTCTTTTCGTTATCAACCAGTAGCTATCAGCTCCTCGCAGCGCCAGTCTCACGTTTCCTTCCATCTCTGGTCACCCACACCTTGGCTGTTGGTATGCTAAGTACATGGGCGTAACGGTAAGGTGTGTCGAATCTACTACTGGACGGGGGGTTGGGGGGGTCTCCCCCCTCCTTGCTGAGAGGAGCTGGCCGAAGGTCGAGCGACGACCAGCAAGGAGGCCCGAATGATACCATCACAACGGTTCCTGCTATACCCCTTACTATTCAGCGGCCCTTCATGTCGTACTCAGGTATATCAGCTTGGTAGTGACGGTAACTTGTTGTGTATCAATGTGTGTATATCATGCTTTACGTGCGGATTGTTGAGTGATCTAGACGCTGGGAGCACTGAACGTGATAAGTTGGTGACAAGTGTCGTTGAAAATGGGATCAATTTTGTTTAATCTGAGCACGAAGCTAGTACAACCTGGAGAAATGTTGTCTGGTCGTGGTCGCTGTGCTGGAAAAGGCAGTAGCGGGCTCTGCCGCTTGCCGGCGTCTATCCAAATTGTACGTTTTCGCTGGGGTCACCGTGATTTTCCCACGAAGGCGAGTGTGAGACCCATGCAATTGAGTAATTGCTTTCCGCTGATGGTCGAGCTTGGGTGGACGTCTCTTCGACTTCACCTGCGCCTGAGGAAGAACGTCTCGCGTAAGGGATCCTCTGTCATTGACTGCCAGTATTTGGCGCTATATTGGTAGCTTACCAGATTCGTTAGGTTCTTCCGTGCGAACATGCATCGGTGAAACAGTTGAGGCGTCGATCGACGTATCCCGTACCACCACTGGAGGGTCAAGACGAGTTTGAGAAGAGCCTGGTAAAAGTCACAGTGAGCATGGGACCAGAACAATTATCTTGGTACTGACTGAGTACTGACCCAGAATCCCCTGACCATAGTTAAATACGTCTCTTGAGGTTTGCCCCACAGAACTTTGGTTGAAGTTATCCCCGTTGTGATTACGGTTGTGCAGAATGATAGTCGGTCCATAAAAATGATTTACATGGCGACCACTTCCGTAATTGACTCGGAGTTCACTGGTGCCACCGGCAACCTGATGATCATGAGTTCTTGTCCTTGCCTCGCTCCCCTCAGCGTCGTGGGACAGCGCATTGCTCCCGCGCTTCATGAAGGGTGAAACAGATATGAATTCTCCCGGCTCGCACTCTGAGAACAAGAATGAGGGCTGACCTGCACTGAACCTTCCCTCTCTGCCGCCTCCGACTCCAAATCACAACGGGACGACCCTCTCTCTTCCTCCAGCGGTGGCGGCATTATCTCATCATTATCATGAGTATCTCTAGTCCTACAGGCCTGGTTCGGAGTGAGAGCCAGGTTCGCCAGTGCCAAAATCGTCTCAATGCATGCGCATGGAAGTCTTGATATTGTGTGTCCCATTTCTTTCTTCCTGTTCTTCGAGAAGACCCAGTTGGGATGAGGGTATTAGCAGAGTGGTTCAAGGTCACAGCAATAAAGGGTTTGCTGAGCCCGAGGCCTCTTATACATTAGCAAAACGATTGTAACGTGAACAGTGGCAAAATGTTTTAACCTAGAAGCCTTGGGATGTTCGTACTTTTCGGTTTGATGGGACTGCGCATCACTACTACCCCAGAACAACCATAGAATGCCGCCCGAGCGCCAGTCTCTTGTAAACAGACGCTTCATATCCGAAAACCCTTTTTGGTAGTGGTGAGGGCGGGTGGATATGAACCCGAGCGCTATCGAACTGGTTCGGGACAGCTAGGTGGACCGTGGGTGACGGGCCTTTGTAACAGAGCGAGGAAATTGATAGTGAATTAGAGTCTACTAGAATGCATCACTACATCGGACAGACTATCGAGTGTTATTGAACTGGTTTGGGATAACTAAGGCGGGTCCAAGAGAGCACAGAATTCGATAGTGCCCCAGGCCACATCATCGTACTGATTCAGAGTAATTAAGTACACTACCTCTGAATGTGAATTGTTATGGACATTGGTGCGACTCACCGAGTGAATGTTGGCGTCAAATATGGCAATTAATGCCCCGGGACCTGGATATCTCGTGCTCAATTACCCCGCTCGGACTGCTCCAACCTGCTCCAAGTTCCAACGAAGGATTGTGTTCCACCGTTGCCTCCGTTCCTCACCCTCTGACAATCTTCTCGTTGTGCACCCTCCTCAGATAGTACATCAAAAGTATAGTCTCAACTCAACTATGTAGCAGACGGAGACGACGGCACTGATACAAGCAGCAAATGGAGAGCCTAAAGGCCCAACGGGGCGTGTATACTATAAATGTACGGTAACTTCGGGATAATAGTTAGAGAACATAGACCCGTGTGACCAGTTACGGTAGGGATAATCATAATAAGTACCATAATGGCTGTTGATAGATGGGTTCAGGTCCAGGGCGACTCGCTCTCTATCAGTCCCCTATGATCCTTTCCTTTTGGAGAAAACTAGATCTCCGCGGAGCATGAAGGGCAGACTCGGTGCCTTGAAAGTTGAAGGCCAGGCTCGGGCTTCAATTCAACTTCAAAAACCTCTGCTTGAGTCCGACAACACTGGCTGGACGGACGCATGAGCGAAACAACTTGGAAGTGCATTGTGTCGGAGCTTCAGCTCCAAGCTACTTACACTCAAATTCAACTGCCGCGGTATCAGTGGGCCGGTGTAGTAGAAGTATATATCCCTTTCAAGAATTCAACTCTAGGGTGACGCACAAGAATGTACTATTGCTGTGGTATAAATGATGTGCCCTACTATGAGCGCCCGCTAAAACTATTCAACAGGGTCTAACTAGTCTCGCTCGCCATTCCTCGACAATACCGAGAAGACACTTCTTCCTTTGTATTGTAGGGTCAGACATACCCTTTGCTGGTCCACTATCTCCAGGCGCCTGCTCCAATGACGCCTGATCGTGAAGCTTGAAGTCCGGAAAGCTATCATGCACATGGGCGCCAATGTACCTTGATCACCAGGCATCATTGAGATTCCATTGCATAGATACCACCGGCCTCAAAAGACATGTATCTCTTCAGCAAAGGGATATTAGTTTTGAGACTAGACTTGGCGAAGCATAGAATCCCTGAATATTTACCTGAGTCGCAGCTTGCATCCCTCCGTGTTGGGGATTGAGAATCAAGTCATGCGCTGAGTCCTGCCTTGATCCCGCCCTCCCCATCAATATCGTCACCGCCATCTTAGTGGCTCGAATCAGATGAAAGGCTAGAAAACGTCAAAAGGAACGGTTTTGAGTAATTTGTTGAGCCCGGTCACTTCCATTGTAACTACCCTCAATGATTGGTTGAGAGTTGATTCTCCCGGTTGTGATAAATTTGAGCCCGGCGCCTGATACGCACGGGATTCTTAAATTTGGCTTCCATTCCACCGATCACGTCAAAAGTGAGGTGTGTGTAAGGGCAGAAACTGGCAGAAAGCTGCCAATGTTTGACACAGAAGAGCAAATGAAGGTGGGCTTTGATCTGCTTTGATCTGGTTTTTCTCACGTCGGGCTTCTTGAATGGTAGTATTGATTATCCTCGATACCAGATTCCACCCCACTTGTCGACGAAGAGAACATATCCTATCCAGGGACCAGCATAGAGTTCTTTGGCACCAGTGAGTCCCAGATTCAAGATTTTCTCTTGCGGAACACGCGAGATGGAGGGTAAGGGGTGTCGACATAGAGAAAGAAACCTGGGGATATCTACCGATGTGCACAGCGATCGAGTCTGGTCGGATTTTCTCCGGAATGATGGTTCGGTTGAAGGTCGTTTGAGAAAGTGGATGCTTGACGTCAAACGAGTGACCGAGTTTTGGTTGGCAACGATCGTGTCTAGTAACGATTCAACTCCCCGATAACGCGGTTGAACTTCAAGAAATGGTTGATTTTGAACATCTGAACCTCCTCGTTCGTTCAGTATGTGAAGGAGGTATATACGAAACAAGTAATGTAGTGATATCAATGTCAGCGGAGCGCGAGCTCGAAAAAGTGTACAAATGCTCACCTAGCCCGCTGTTTTGTTCCCGTGAACCGTGATGTCGCCCTCCAGCTCTCCACCAGATCCATGCTAGACAGTCTTCTCCCTCGAGCCAGTAACTCGCCGATGCTGAAGGTGGTGGTCAAGTCCAAAGACTTGTGGGCGGCAATATGATAACGTAAAGACTTTCATCGTTTATCGGCCGCATGTTCCTTACCCTGGATGTTCCGAACGTGATTGTTCGAGCTCTTGCCGCATAAAACAGTTGGGATCAAGGGTTGGGGCCAGCCGTCTGCGTCACCTACCACCGACAGAGAAAAACTTGAGAGAAGATATGTATGTCATAGCAGCAACTTGTTTCGATCAAGTGACCTCGGGGTTTCTTCCAAACATCTAGTTGATATGGGCCCCGCGCGCTACCACTGCGCCATGCTGCTTTCAATACGAGGTGGCACTCGGGGACCAAGAGTGCCTTGGCGTGAGATTGTTTGGTGTGACGGAAATAAGCTGGGCGATGTCCGAGTTTCAGCGCCCATGTCCGTTTTCAAGTTTCAGAAATTTCCTTCTCGCTTCGCTTCGTTCTTCCTCCGTAATCCATCATCCGGCCATGACTCTGGTACCTTTCTTTCTCTCCACTTCAAAACAGTCGTCACCTTGGAACAATTATTCAACCTGGAATATGGAGCATAGAGGACGGAAATAGCACTTTGGCTTTATCTGTTTTTAATCAACAGGTGTGGTTGCCTGCGTGCAGTTGACACATTACCTGGTTACCCACTTATAAACTCATATGACAGAATTGGAAGACCCTGAGGAGCACGCACTCCCCTCGACCTCGAACACAGCCATTGGCCATTGTTGTCTCAGGCGCACTCCTCGGTTGTCTCGGTGCCCAAGACCGCTCCGCTGGGCATAGTGGGCAGTGGCCTCGTTTTTCTTCAACCCAGCGACGAATAACCCTCGACCCTCCCCTTTTCTTCAACTAGAATGTCGGAAGCATCCTATATAGACTACCCTCGTCGAGTCGTCATTGACGATACGCACCCACGGATTCGGTACTCTGACTATAACGATTGGGCTCTCGACGTTGGAACGAAAGCATTCGAAGACCAGGGTCGATATGGGCCTCCACTGAACCGTACGATGCATGGGACGAAGAAGAAGGAGGGTGCTTGGTTCGAGTTTGACTTTGAAGGTGCGCACATCTCATCTTTTTTATCTTCTATACACACTGACCCCCTCGACTCTTAGGCGACTACATCCTCGTCCGAGGCGCACGAGACATCCAAAACAATAAAACAGCCCCCACATGGACATGTTACATCGACGGTTCCCCCATTCCTTCATTCCCATTCGACGACGACGACGAAGCGACACACAACAACCTCTGCGAGCTGGGACACATGTCTCGTAAAGCACACAAGTTGAGTGTGAACGTGACGGTGACGGAACCGAACGATACAGAATTCTGGTTGGATTACCTCGAGTATGCGCCTCTAGATGGGGAGAAGGGGCTTAGTTTAGATGGAGTTGATGGGGAGGGTGGGGTACGTCATGGAGGGTGGATTAAAATTGATAGTAGCGATACAAGCGTCAACTACCTCAACGGAAGCTCGCAGTGGAAAGATATCGGGGGAGGATTCAACGGGACTGGGAAGACGAGTGGGACAGTCCAGGTCAAGTTCAACGGTGCGTCTCCCTCTGCTTCGTATTTTCTCGCCTAACACCCCGTACAGGTACCTCAATATCATTCTTCTCCTTCCTCGAAGGCTCCAACGCTACCCAACCCTGGTCTTCCTCCCCAGCACGCTACCACATCGACGACGCCCAAGATACATCATTTACAATTCCCGCATCCAAAAAGATGTCAAACGGCCAAGCCGCAGATTTCCAAAACCAACTTTTATTTAACGCGTCGGATCTGTCCGGAGACAAAGAACACGAACTGGCCATAACATACGAGGGTGTCTACGACTCGGATAAACCACCGATTCAGTGGTTGGTCATAGACTACTTTCTCGTCACACCAGTGGGTATGGTTTCGACGCCATCGGGGAAAAGCAAACCGGCGATGGGGATGATATTGGGAGCTGCGTTTGGTGGAGTTGTCGGGCTCGTTCTGCTTGGATTGGGAGTATGGTTTTTCATGAAGCGGTGGAAGAGGAATCAGAGGGAAGGTGTTATGGATTCGCCTTGGTATGGTGGTGCTGGAGGGCCGGGGATGTATATGGGTGGTGGTCATACGTATGCGGCTGTGACACCTTTCGTTCCGGAAGACGAGCACAGGCCGTATGTGAATCCTGTGGCGCCTTGGGAGACTGCCGCGGCTGGGGCTGGGGCTGGAGTAGCAGGAGGAAGAACAAGCACGTCGTATCCACCAGAGAAACAACGATACTCGAACATGTCCACTTCTTCATCCGCTCCTCTCCTTGGTGGTGCATCTGGGTCGGGGTCAGGATCTGGGAGCAGACCACAACACTCTCGACATAACCAATCCCAGTCAGGCTCCGTCGTTACACTCTCCCCACCTGATGTCGAATCTACATCCCATCACTCCTACTTCGACCCGTATGCCGACGCGTCTGCTGGGTCGAGTAGTAACGACAATTACCGATCCATGAAAGGCGAGCAGCGGCAAGTCGTTAATACCACGTATCGGAGGCATGAGGATAGTGGGGTTCGGTATGGGCAAGGGTCCGGTGCGCATGTGGAGGATTTGCCGCCGGATTATACCAGGGACTAAGATATTTGTTGGTCGTCATGTTTTTCTGGGCTTTCGGAATCTGGATGGATTGCATATCACGTATACTTATTACCGTTCTTTCCTCCTCTTTTTATCCCTCAATGGACTATCGAATCGTTGTTGCTATCATCTATCGCTGTCATTACACACATACTTATCATCCTCTGTCTCTTACTTACGAATCTAACGACGTACTTACAGGAAAGGCGCGCCAAAGCTGCTCAATATAGTGCCTCAACCCAGATGCTTCGCCACTTAGCAGCATGGCGCAGTGGCGCAGTGGTAGCGCGCGGGGCCCATATCATTATTGCAGTAGTAACCGTCATCTCCATGGAACCCTGAGATCACTTGATACTACCGATTCTGGGCAGGCTGGCCGCTGAGAATTACACACAGAGTGTAAGAGGAGTTAGGGCATACCCACTTGCCATATCGCAATGCCCACAAAGTTTATTTTCTGCCCCTGAAACGCCGGTAGATTGGGTGCCGGCAATTGGCCGAACTTCTCTGATACCACAGCCAGCCCCACTCTCTTTACTTCGTGCCACAGCCTACTGTGATATCCATTATTTTCTCTTCCTCTCCCAAAGGTGAAGGCTGCAGTCTATCATTCCGTTTGTTCAACCCGGCCGTTTGACTTTCTCTTCCTCTTACACTGCTACGAACCGTGGATTTTCTTCATGACCATTACTCAAGAACACGTTGGAGGGCGGATCCGGTCTTGGTTGCTGGCCGGGAGGGATTCGGACTTCACTGAGACTCGTGAGAGCAGAGTCACAAAACAGAGTTTTTGGAGGGAACAGATGTGTAACTTGGACTCTGAAATGTCTTCAGCTGGGTTGCAGGTACGTCTGTCTATCGTTTCTAATTCCAAGATTCCTTGTCGAAAAGAGAAAGAGAAAAATTTCGGATCCAAGATTGAACAAGACGCCCACATACGTACGGAAAGGTAAGTATTACCTCCAAGTCTCTGCCCGAGATTAGCACTTGGCTATAGCTATTCCCGTTCGCCAGCGTGCGTATTTTTTGGGTTGATTCATCTATGATCTGGCCGACGTCGCTTTCCTTCTTCCCACCTATTTTCTGCACCATCAACGTTAAGGCCTAGAAACAAGACAAACGGAGGCGACGAGAATCCATGGCCATATGCGCCGCGTAATACGAGAACAAAATAGCGGGCTAAGCGAGTACTTGCACGCGTTTCGAGCTCGAGCTCCGCTGACATCGATGTCGCCACAGTACTTACCTCATCTATACCTCCTTCACATACTGAAGAAACGCAACCATTGCCAGTTGAAACTCAGTTGCTTGCTCGACGTCAAGATTCACAATCACAAGCCCAGGCTTTCTTCCACCTTTTCAAACACAGGCTCAAGTCTGCCGCTTCACCTCTACATACTTTTCTTCCGGGTCAACTTATCGACCTCACGTCTGGATTTCCGCTGCTTCGGTTTGACTTTGTTGCCCAACTTGAATACTGAGAAAATACGGCCGTTGCCGTCTGAAACTCAGTCACTCGCTCGACGACAAGCATCCAATTATCCAAATGACCTCCAACCAAACCGTCATCCCGAGAAAAATCAGACCGAACAGACTCGGTCGTTGTATACGTCGACAAATGTCCCTAAATTCCTTTCTCTGTGTCGACACCCAACAGGATCTCTCATACCCTCCATCTCGTGTGTCCGCAAAAAAAATTTTGTACCTGGGACTCATTAGTGCCAAAGAACTCTCTGCTAGATACCACATGTTGTCTTAGTCAACAAGTGGGGTATGGAGAATAATCAAAAACATCTTACTCATGATTCAAGAGGCTCGACCTGAGGACACGATCAAAGGCTATCGTTCTCTTAGCCTTCAGTTCTTTTTTTGCGTCAACATTCGGCAGTTTTGTGCCCTTGCATTTCACTTTTGGCGCAATCGGTGGAATGGAAGCCAAATCACTAAGAATTCCTTGTGCATCTGGCGCCGTACACGGGGACTCGTTACAGGCCACGATACATGTGAACGTTGAGCCCTTGTTTAGCCACCGTAGAACATTCGACAGCAGCAGGCGGACGAGAGATTTCACATCGGAAGTGGGTTCGAAATCATCAAGACCCGGAGAATACTAACTGTCAACTCACCGCGCCGGCGGTTGGCGGTTGATGGTCGATGGTACTTGTAATCGAAATCGCTGGACTCCAAATGACTCGAAATCGTTCCTTATGCTGTTCCCTAGCTTTTGGCTTGATTCGAGCCACGAGAATGGCGGCGACGATATTGATGGCAAGGGAGGGATCAAAGCAGAACGATCGATGAAAGGCGGCGGCGAGCAGCGGCAAGTCGTTAATACCACGTATCGGAGACATGAGGATAGTGGGGTTCGGTATGGGCAAGGGTCGGGGACGCATGTGGAGGATTTACCTCCGGACTATACGAGGGACTAAGGCGTTGTTTCTTTCTGGGCTTTCGGAATTTGGATGCACTACATATCGCATATGCTTAGTCTCTTTCCTTCGCTTTTATCTCTCTCTCTCAATGGACTACATACCGTTTCGTTATTGCTATCATCTATCGCTGTCGTTACCTACTATAGGCCTTCACCTAGTTGGCCACCCCTGGGAAGTTGGCCACTTGGGCTCCACACGGCTGTCACCGTGTTGTAGTAACTCAAAGCCAGTCACATAGTGTACATTCAATCTATACCGACCT